AGCAGGTTCCCTGATGGGACGGGAGTGAGCGTGACCCTGCACTCGCTCTGTGCACTGGGCTCACTGGGCGCATCGGGCTCACTGGGTGCATTGGGCTCACTGTGCTCACCAGGCTCACTGTGCTCACTGGGTGCACTGGGAGCACTGGGCTCACTGACCTCACTGTGCTCCCTGACCTCACTGTGCTCACTGTGCTCACTGGGAGCACTATGTTCACTGTGCTCACTGGGCTCACTGGGCTCACTGTGCTCACTGGTCTCACTGGGTGCACTGGGTTCACTGGGCACACTGGGCACACTGGGTGCACTGTGCTCACTGCACTCACTGGGCTCTCTGGGCTCTCTGGGCTCACTGGGCTCACTGGGTGCCCTGTGCTCACTGGGCTCACTGGGCACACTGTGCTCACTGGGCTCACTGTGCTCACTGGGCTCACTGTGCTCACTGGGCTCACTGGGCACACTGGGCTCACTGTGCTCACTGGGCTCACTGTGCTTCTGGGCTCACTGTTCTGGGACACTTGTCACTGTGCTCACTGGGTGTCCACTGGGACTGGGGTGGGACTGTGCTCATGGGGTCTGTTACTGACTGTGCCATGCTCTCTGTGCTCACTGTGCTCACTGGGTTCTCTGGGCTCACTGTGCTCACCGTGTGCACTGGGCTCACTGTGCTCACTGTGTTCACTTGGTGCACTGGGTGCATTGGGCTCACTGTGCTCACCATGCTCACTGTGTTCTCTGGGCTCACTGTGCTCTCCTGGTTCCTCCTTCCCCAGCCCATCCCAGCCCCACAGCTCCGCACCGTGAGCCCCAGCCTGGAGCTGGCACCCCTGAGGCAGGGCCACCGGCACCCGCTGCTGCCGCACTCACTGATGGAGGCACCGGGATGGAGGCACCGGGATGGAAGCACCGGGATGGAGGCACCATCCCTATGGATCCACCCCACTCCCCCCCCACGCTGCTTTTGGGGCCGCTGCCGTTCCAGGGCTCATTCCCATGCACGATCCAGTGGGAAGCTCACTGCAGCCTGCCCTCCTCCCCCACCCCCCCCCTTCCACTCCAACCAAGCCTTTTCCACCCCAAAATGAGCGGGTTTAACCCATTTTGGGTTAAATGGGGGTTTGCAGGGGGGACACCCCTCAAGGCGCAGGGATGGGTCCCGTGCCCCCCCCACCGCATCCCATCCATTCCCATCCCATCCCATCGCATCCATTCCCATCCCATCCCATCCCATCCATTCCCATCCCATCCCATCCATTCCCATCCCATCCCATCCATTCCCATCCCATCCCATCCATTCCCATCGCATCCCATCCCATCCATTCCCATCGCATCCATTCCCATCGCATCCCATCCCACCCCATCCCATCCCATCCATTCCCATCCATTTCCCATCCATTCCCATCCATTCCCATCCATTCCCATCCATTTCCCATCCATTCCCATCCATTTCCCATCCATTCCCATCCATTCCCATCCATCTATTCCCATCCATTCATTCCCATCCATCCCATTCCTATCCATTCCCACCCCATCCCATCCCATCCATTCCCATCGCATCCATTCCCATCGCATCCCATCCCACCCCATCCCATCGCATCCATTCCCATCCCATCCCATCCATTCCCATCGCATCCATTCCCATCCCATCCCATCCCATCCATTCCCATCGCATCCCATCCCACCCCATCCCATCGCATCCATTCCCATCCCACCCCATCCCATCCCATCCATTCCCATCGCATCCCATCCATCCCATCCCACCCCATCCCATCCCATCCATTCCCACCCATTCCCATCCCACCCCATCCCATCGCATCCATTCCCATCCATTCCCATCCCATCCATTCCCATCCCATCCATTCCCATGGCATCACTCACCCCTGGGGTGGGTTCTTGTCCAACCACCCCGCTCGCAGCGGGGCTCCCGGCGGGGACCCCTCCATGCCCGTGCTGCTGGGGAGGGCGGGCGCTGGGTGCAGGGGGTGCGGGCCGGGACTGGGGATATGGAGCAGAGGGGGGGGGGGTTGAGCTGGTTGGGGCCAGGGGGTGGGGACAGGGAGGGGGAGCCCCCCCCCCCGCACACTGCAGCCTCCCCTTGTCCTTCCCCGGGGCATGGGCAGAGCAGGAGGCAGCCTCGGCAGCAGGGAGGGTGCACACATGTGCACACACACACACACGTGTGCATACACATACATGTGTCCCCATCCTGCACACACACACACACGTGCATACACATCATACACACACACGTGTGCATACACATACATGTGTTCCCATCCTGCACACACACACACACACGTGCATACAGAGACACATGCATACACACACACACACACATGCATACACACACACACGTGCATACACACACACACACACATGTGCATACACACACACACACACATGCATACACACACACACGTGCATACACACACACACACATGTGCATACACACACACACACATGCATACACACACACACACATGTGCATACACACACACACGCATACACACACACACACGTGTGCATACACATACATGTGTCCCCATCCTGCACACACACACACATGTGCATACACACACACATGCATACACACACACACACATGCATACACACACACACATGTGCATACACACACACACGTGTGCATACACATACATGTGTCCCCATCCTGCACACAGACACACACACACGTGCATACACACACACATGCATACACACACACACACACATGCATACACACACACATGTGCATACACATACATGTGCCCCCATCCTGCACACATACATGTGTTCCCATCCTGCACACATACATGTGTTCCCATCCTGCACACATGCATGTGTCCCCATCCTGCACACATACATGTCCCCATCCTGCACACACACACACACGTGTGCATACACATACATGTGCCCCCATCCTGCACACACACACACATGTGCATACACACACACACGTGCATACACACACACACACATGCATACACACACACGTGCATACACATACATGTGCCCCCATCCTGCACACATACATGTGTCCCCATCCTGCACACACACACATGTGCATACACATACATGTGTTCCCATCCTGCACACATACATGTGTCCCCATCCTGCACACATACATGTGTCCCCATCCTGCAAACACACACACGTGTGCATACACATACATGTGTCCCCATCCTGCACACACACACACGTGTGCATACACATACATGTGTCCCCATCCTGCACACACACACACACATGTGCATACACATACATGTGTTCCCATCCTGCACACACACACACACACATGTGCGTGCACACACACACACACACACATGTGCATACACATACATGTGTCCCCATCCTGCACACACACACACACACACGTGATACACACACACACACATGCATACACACACACACACACACGTGTGCACACACACACACACACACACGTGCACACACGTGCACACACACACACACACACACACACGCGTGTCCCAGCCCGGCCCTACCTGCCCAGCGCATCCTCTCCCCTCTCCTCACTGAGCTCATCCTCACTGCAGATGCTGCTGGTGCGCAGGGACCGCGCTGCCCCGGGCTCAGCATCCTCCTGCGGGGACACACATGGGAGCACCCCCATAGCCCCAGCCCAGGCCCTGCTGCGGGGCTCAGTGGGGTGCGAGGCTGCAGGGGGGGGATGCAGGCAGCACCAGGGATGCTCTGGGCTGGCACCGGCTCCCCAGTGCCTAAAGGGGCTGCAGGGAACCTGGAGAGGGGCCTGGGACAAGGGCCTGTAGGGCCAGGCCAAGGGGAATGGCTTGAACCTGCCCGAGGGGAGACTGAGCTGAGCTCTTAGGCAGAAGCTCTTCCCTGTGAGGGTGCTGAGGCGCTGGCACAGGGTGCCCAGAGAAGCTGTGGCTGCCCCATCCCTGGCAGTGCTCAAGGCCAGGTTGGACACAGGGGCTTGGAGCAAGCTGCTCCAGTGGAAGGGGTCCCTGCCTGTGGCTTTAGATGGGCTTTACGCCCCCTTCATCCCACCCCATCCCATGCCCCCAGTACCAACCTTCTCCGCCATCTCCCCCACAGCTCCCGTTAATTCCTCCTCCGAGGCCGAGTCCTCACAGTCTGAGTCATCTGCGGGAGCAGAGGGAAGATGCTGGGATGGGGCGAGGGCTCCTGCACCCCCTTGCCCCCCCCATCCTGCATGGGGCTGCCCCAGCGCTGGATGCTGCCACTTCCCCATCACTGCCCTTGGCAAACCCCGGCCCCAGGGCAACAATGGGGGTTTGATCCGGAGCCTGGAGAAGGGCAAAGTCCCGCTGGTGGCAATGGCACAATCCCCATGGCACCAATGGGATGGGGCTTTGGTCCCTGCCCTCCCAGCATCCCCCCAGTTAAACCAGGGCTGTTCAAACATGGGGACCCCCAGATCCCCTTGCTCTCCTCCGGGAGATGCCGCATCCAAACCCCATCCCAGATCCCGCATCCCTGGGGAGCCCCCATCCCAGAGGGGATGCAGGAGGGAAGGACCCCCCAAGCAGGAGCACGGCACCCATGGGATGTGTGGGGCTGGATGGGTTCATCCCAAGGGATCCCTGGGGCAGGGAAGGGCCGAGGGTCCCCCTGTACTCACCAAACTGGGGTGCCAAGGGGACGGTGGCCTTGGGGGGTGGCACCGGGGGCTTGGAGCGGGGCAGGAGCAATGGTGGGGATGGGGGGCACGGGGGGACCCCCTCCTTGGTAGGGATGCTATGGAGAGAGGAGCAAACGCTGCTCAGAGCAGCCCAAACCTCCCCTTCCCAACATTGGTGCATCCCGAGATGGGGCGAGAAGACCCCACTGCATCCAGCATCCCAAACCCCACCACATCCAAACCCATGGACTGGGCCCCATTGACCTCCCATGGAAAACTCCCCCTTCCTCCGGTTATCCCAGTGCTTTTCCAGCCTGGGAATAGCTTCCTGCCCCCCAGCCTCACTTCCCCATCACCAGCACTGTGGATCCGGTGCCTCATCTGCCCCACAAGGACACCAGAAGCCGCCTATGGCACCGAAGGCCACTCGATGCTCTCCTGGTGCTTCCCCAGCTGGATCTGGGGTGCCCCAAGCAGGATGGGGGGGACCGGGGGGCTCCCTGCCTACCCAGGGCCCTACAGTGGGCTGGGAACCAGGGATCCCAGTAAGAAGATGGGATCAAGGAGCTGGGAGCTTGGTGCCAAGGATCAGCCCTTGGAGATGGAGCCTTGGGGCTCTCCTGGGTTGAGAACCCCAGAACTTGGCCAGAGGGACCCCAGTGCCCATGAGCCTCCTGCTCTCCATTCGCTTCCTGCATCCCAACCATGAACAGAAAGCAGGGGATTTATGGAGCTGGTTTTAGGGCAAGCATCACCATCACCTCCAACACGGGCAACCATCACCCCAACAGGAGCAAGCGTGACCCCAGCAGGGGCAAGCGTCACGCCAGCATGGGCAAGCATTACCTCCAACAGGGGCAAGCATCACCCCCACATGGGCAAGCATCACCTCCACCAGGGGCAGCCATCACCCCAACAGGGGCAACCACCACCTCCAACAGGGGCAAGCATCACCCCAACAGGAGCAAGCATCACCCCAACATGGGCAACTACCACACCAACATGGGCAAACATCACCTCCAACAGGGGCAACCATCACCCCAAGAGGGGCAACCACCACCCCAGCATGGGCAACCATCACCCCCACATGGGCAAGCATCACCATCACCTCCAACATGGGCAACCATCACCCCAACATGGGCAAGCATCACCCCAACAGGGGCAACCATCACCATCACCTCCAACATGGGCAAGCATCACCCCAACAGGGGCAAGCATCATGCCAGCATGGGCAACCATCACCATCACCCCAACAGGGGCAACCATCACCTCCAACATGGGCAACCATCACCCCAACAGGGGCAACCATCACCTCCAACATGGGCAACCATCACCCCAACACAGGCAACTATCACCCCAGCATGGGCAAGCATCACCCCAACAGGGGCAACCATCACCCCAAAAGGGGCAAGCATCACCCCAACATAGGCAACAATCACCCCAGCATGGGCAAGCATCACCCCAACAGGGGCAACCATCACCTCCAACAGGGGCAACCATCACCCCAAAAGGGGCAAGCATCACTCCAACATAGGCAACAATCACCCCAGCATGGGCAAGCATCACACCAAAAGGGGCAACCATCACCTCCACCAGGGGCAACCATCGCCATCACCCCCACATGGGCAAGCATCACCCCAACACAGGCAACCACCACCTCTATCATGGGCAACCATCACCCCAGCATGGGCAAGCGCCGCCCAGCACCGCGCCCTCAGCGCCCACCCGCGGCTATGGACGGGAGCAGGACGGAGCCATCCCCGCGGCTGCAGAGGATGCCCCGGCCCCATCCAACCACTGCCTGCACCCCCCGATGGGCGGGCGGCACCCCCGGACCTCCCCCCGCACCCCCCCCCACATCCCCCGAGCCGCGGCTCCCCCCTCCCACCCCATACGAGGGCAGCTTTGGGGGTGCGCTCCCCCCCGTGCATCCCGCACCCACCGCGGGGCCGCGGGGCCCGGTACCGGATGCGGCTCGGGCCGGGGCTGCGGCGGGACCGGAGCTCTCGTCACCCCCCGGCACTTCCTGCGCCACCGAAACTTCCTGCACCGGCCGCGGGCAGCGCCGGGACGGACCCGCTGCGGCCAACGGTGCCCATTGGTACCCATTGGTACCCATTGGTACCCATTGGTGCCCATTGGTGACACCGGTACCGCCGGGGCACGGCCAGGGCCAGGGGGGGGGCTTGGGTACCACCGCGGTGCAGAAGGGATGCGGACGGGATGTGGGGATGTGCGTGTGCTCCCCCATGGGTGCCATCCCCCCGCTATGGGACCCCCCCATACACACCCCAAGCTGCACATCCCGATGGGGTCCCTCCCACCGCATCGCATCGCACCTCACACAGGGGGATGCTCGCACCCAAAGGGTC